TTTGGTGCTGAATGTAAATTGCAGGAGACTATGAGCAAATCAGTTGAGCTACTTCCAGAATTATGGAAACTTGCTGATTGTCCACGTGAAACTATTTTGTCTTACCGAAGAGCACTCCTTCGTCATTGGAATCTTGATGCAGAGACTATAGCAAAGATTCAAAAAGAATTTGTTGTTTATCTTCTGTATAGTGGAGGGGAAGCAACACCCCCTAATCTCCGTTCCCAAATGGACGGATCATTTGTACCAACAAGCAATATTGAAGAAGCTATCCTTCTTTTAATGATTCTGCTAAGAAAAATCACTCTAAAAAGAATCGAGTGGGATCCTTCAATTTTAGACCACCTTTCGTTTGCTCTGTCTGTTTCAGGAGATTTATCAGCTTTAGCCAATCAATTAGAAGAATTGCTCCCTGGGACTATCCATCGAACAGAAAGGTACCATTCTCTAGCTCTTTGCTATTATGTAGCAGGTAAGGACTTGGTTGCACTGGATCTTCTTAGAAAATTGTTGAGTAGTAGAGAGGACCCAACACATGTTCCAGCACTGTTAATGGCCTCTAAGATTTGCTGTGAAAAATCTAGCCTTGCAGAAGAAGGGGTAAGCTTCGCTCGCAGAGCGCTTGAGAATTTGAATGGCAGATGTAATAAGTTAGAAAATCTTGCCAATTGCTTACTTGGTGTTTCGCTTTCAGCACACTCAAAATTGGCCACTTCTGATTCTGAGAGGTTTGAGAGACAATCTGAGGCACTTCATGCCCTGGAAACTGCAGGAAGAAAGACTGAAATGAGAGACCCCGTTGTAGTGTACCATCTTAGTTTAGAATATGCAGAGCAAAGGAAGTTGGATGATGCACTTTATCATGCAAAGTGCTTTTTAAAGCTGGAAGGTGGTTCTAATGTTAAAGGGTGGTTATTGTTAGCCCGGATATTATCTGCTCAAAAACGGTTTTTGGATGCCGAATCTGTCATCAACGCTGCTTTGGATCAGACTGGTAAATGGGAACAAGGCGATTTGTTGCGGACAAAAGCTAAACTTAACATTACACAGGGCCAGTTAAAAAGTGCTATCGGGACATATACTCAGCTTCTTGCTGTTCTTCAAATTCAGAGTAAAAGTTTTGGTTCTGGGAAGAGGCCGTATAAGGTTAGTTGTTGTAATAACTTATGCTTATCGAGTAGAAATTCTGAATAACAGGCCTGAGTTCTTGTGATTATTACTGTTAGAATTGGATGGATGTAGTCTCTCATAAACTCGTGGAGCTGTTACGGCTGTACCAGAAATTTATCATCAGAGGTTTTATAATTTGTGAATGGAATTGTTCTGCCAATATGTACCTTGTCATATTGATTGGAAGAGTGACGGTGAGAGTAGTGAAGAAATAATCATTGCTTTATTCAGTTTGACATAGATGCATCTCATGAAGAATGCATAGAGTTCCTTAAAAGTTTGATGAGGACACTTTGAAATTTGAAGTATGGTGCACCTTTAAAGGCATGTTACTGCCAGGTTCACATATTCATGTGAGAACCAGTATGTCTTCAATGTGAAATTTCGTGGAAATTATTTTAACTTAGTTGATTTGAACTTTTAGGATTGCCCCTCAATAGAGCACCTTTTCCATTTTTCCTTTCTGATTTTGAAGTCCACACATATTGTTATTGTTCAAAAAATGTATCATTTTTTATTTCCTATATTGATAAGAACTTTTTATATTTATTCTTCTATACAAGATTCATATCATAGAGGGACAAAGTTTTACGTTGGCTATCGACTGTCAAACACAACCTTCACCTTTTATTCGGACTTAAGACCAGCTATGTATAGCATCAAGCACACATAGGCAGGTTTATCCCACCTAGTGGGATAAAGACTTGGTTGTTGTTGTTGTTATTTTATACAAGATATTACCTCGTTGAACAAGAGATTCATTTGAGTAAAATAATAGATGAGTAGTCACACACTCACACCTCTCTTTCAAGAGGATGTTAGGGTTGTATATGTTCCATAGTCTTTAAGTGTCAGTGTTCTGTATGATATCACAGGGAAGCTCATATATTAAAATCTAGTTGCTTACATTTTTTTGCTTCAATACATGTGGCAGGATAATAGAGATCTTACTAGGAACTTTGAAGTGGAAATATGGCATGATATTGCTTATGTCTACATCAGTCTTTCACAGTGGCATGATGCAGAGGTGTGTCTTTCAAAATCTAAGGCCATCAAGCCATATTCTGCTTCTAGATGTCACGCAATAGGTAAATATATGTTTTTTTATCTAATTTTTATGTTTTTTCACCGAGATGGAAATGGTGCTAACAGATTATAATTACTTGAAAATAATTGGCAGATACTATCTGATGTAGAGTATTCTTTATTTCTATCTATGTAACATGTTTGGGTGCACTGAGGTGCCAAGAGATCACCGGATGTGACTCATGTTCGCGAGGCATGTACCTAAGTGAAGCGAGACACACTTATTTTAAGACAAATAATAAAATATAACATACTAGAATATTTCAATATTATGATGATGAACTAACCTAAGTCTATGTGACAATCAAAGTGCATAATTAACATATTTCATAAAGTACAAAATACTGCAGCACCAGAAATGAAAACATAATGTGGCATAAGCAGTAAAATATCCATTCTAGTTATGTTTCTAAAGACTTGCAGATAATTTGCTATGTTTTATTTGATCACTTCACAGGCAAAATGTTCGAAGCAAGGGGCCTTTACAAAGAAGCTCTAAAAGCTTTTCGCGATGCTTTGGACATCGATCCTAGCCATGTCCTTAGTTTGATCTCCATTGCTGTAGTTCTTAGACGGTGCAGTTATCGATCAAATCCTGCAGTCAGAAGCTTTCTGATGGATGCACTACGGCACGACAGATTCAGTGCTTCAGCTTGGTATAATCTTGGCCTTCTTCACAAGGATGAGGGTACAGTATCATCATTAGTTGAAGCAGCTGAATGTTTTCAAGTAGCAAATTTTCTTGAAGAATCTGCACCAGTTGAACCTTTCAGATGATTGATTCTATAAAAGTAAAGGATATTTTAGCGGTAGGAGTGAACATGTGATGCATGGTTACTTATCCTATCCTAACTTATTTCTTGAGTTTACATGGGAAGCAACCTTCTTGTAAATCCTCATCACGATTTGGACCATCTGCTTCTCACCTTACAATAGAGGTAAACTTATTTAAGCGAATGTCGGCGAGCTAGTGGGTCCAGCCCTTCCCTAAATCCTGTGCATAGCAGAAGCTTAGTAGCAAAGGGTTGCTATTTTCTTTTTTAGTGAGCTAGTCCCAAATAAGATGACAGACTCTACAGTAGTTTTATGATGCTCAATTCATGATTCATGTATAATTTTCACTAGTTCTTGACTTCTTTATAGGTCAATCAGAAAACAATAAGAAAAAAGAAGCTTGCTTAATTATATGCATTGAGTTTGAATTACTAGCAAGCATAAATTGCCAAGTACATGGTCATGATCCCAACATATTTATATATCCAAAAAAACATAACATGGAGAGAGAGCTAAAAAAGGCGTATCAGTTTTATTTTAAACTTGATGTTGTGAGAATACTGATGGTGAGCCTTGGCACAACAGTAAGATTGTTTACCTCGTGAATACCGAAGGGAACCTGTCATAGGTTTTGTTTTGATGGTTGGGTGGACTTACTTTAACGCCACTAAGCTTATCTAAACTTGTCATCTTCTTCTATGGCGATTGATAGCTTTGCCAAAATTAATATTCAATGTACAATAACTGAATTAATAAACTAAAACACTTCACCTTGGAAGTTAGTTTTCCACTATTCTGTTTGAAACTATATACAATTGGTTTATCTATTTTGTTTACAGTTAAATACTAGTGATCACAATGTACAAGTTGATGTATTGGCTTAGACAGAATCTTTCTTTAAACCATAACAATGGAAACAAAATGAGAATGACAACAATGCAATGTTCAAGAAGCAGTCCCCTTCATGTCCAACTCCTGTTCTGCTACCATAATGCATGAATCTGCTTCTAGAGATGAGGCTAAGCTTTTATTCTTTGTCGAAATCTTCTTAGTCGAATTAAGAATTTCTGTCGTGCACTGCACGTCGGGTATTATCCCAACCTGAGTTATGTCATGAAGCGCCGGTGACAGATATTTCGCGACTGTAACAAAGAGAGCTGACCCATCATGAAGCTCTGTGACACTCTACATTGAGATTGAAACATGTCACAATTAACCACAAGTGGATCATTTGTTGCAATTGAATGTTAATAACATCAATGTTGCAGCTGAATGCAAGTAGATGGAAAGCATCAATGTTAATAACCTCGCATATATACATTACAATATCCATTGTTTCATGCTATCCCTTATCAGCAAAATCTATGTTAATAACCATATTTAAGTACTTAAAGCATCACACCATGATCATCATTTGACAAGAAGAACAGTGGTACCTGAATCTTTCCTTTACCAAATGTTCTGTTCCCTACAAGAATAGCTCGACCATTATCGTGTAATGCCCCGGCTAAAATCTCACTGGCACTTGCACTTCTCTAGTTGACCTGTTTAGGAAACAAAAAATGCAGTTACATTATATGCAAATGTAACATCAGATACATGCAGTTCCTATGTTGTTACTCCTAGAAAAGATTGCAGAATTAAAAGGAAGAGTCAATGTTATTAATATCAAGCAACTAAAGTTAGTACTCACAATCACAACAAGTGGATCATGTGTTATAGCATGTCCATTGACCAGAGGGAAAATACTAACAAATCACTTTAATACAGTGGTGACAAGGTAATACTGAATGAAAGTTTCCACCAAAGAAGTAAATTACAGGACTGGCAAGAAGCTTCAACTAGTGAGTAAGGGGAGGGTAGATGTATGCAACTTTATCCTCGCATACGGAGAAACTGTTTCCAGGTTTTGAATCACGACCTTCAGGTCATAAAGCAACTTGTGTTGAGGCTCACCCTCTCTTTTTTTAGAGGTGTAATACGAAGACTTCTTAGGTTACCCATCTTAATATTACTATCGTAAATGAGGCTTAACTGTAGAGTTATGATGTGATCTAGTATATTAGTATCAGTATAATTGCACCTATTTGCAGGATGAAAGAAGAAGCAACAATGAATCATAGGTACCAGATATTCCAATACTCAAATGAATTTGAGTTTGAAAGGCTACTTTGGAGCTGGTGCAATTATGTATTATATATACCATTACTATTTTGATTCCAATTGACTTCAACAACAAGAATTATAATGCGGACATTATTACTCCCTTGTTTGATTGCATTTACATCTATAGATTACTTTCTGTTTAATGATTTTCCAATAAACCTTATAAAAATACTGTATTTAATTTAATACTTTAGGACTTAGGAGTATATGGATGCAGAACTCTTACTATCTTTTGGATAAAGTATTTCTTATCATACTTATCACACAGACAATTGTAAACACTTATGGGGCCTTATTTTTTACTTTTTCCGAGTCATTTAAATTGCGGACCGCATCGCCTGATGCGGCCGTAATATTGCGATTGTGGTGATCGCTGCAACTGCATCACATCGCAATAGCAATTGCGGTGTAACTCTGAGTCACAATGATGCTACCGCAACACAACTGCATCGGATTCAAAAATATTGTTTTAATCACAAAATAATTCATACCACAATCCATATCGCAACGGGCACAATGACCATAATAACCGCAACACTTACCGCAATCGCAATTTAAATTGTCCACTATTTAATATAATATGCCTTTTCTATAATTGTTGTATTATCATAATGGTTGTACTTGAAGCTCATTTTGCTTTCTACCCCACCTATAATATGTAAAGATCGTATACTCAATATCAAAAAATAAGAATGCAGATCGACCGCCAGTAACTTATAACAAAAATATGAATAACTTATTTCGAGGAATGTTGTTTCATAACTTGAAAGTAAGGCCCCTAACATGAACTTTGGTCCTGGTTGAATAAATCAGTGGCTAGCAGAAACAGTGTTGTGCATGGTAAGATACGTTTTTATTCAATTAATTAAAGAAAAAAAGATCATAATAAAGATAAGGAAACTGAAATTTACATTATGTGAATGCACGATCACCATGTTTATAACGGTCACTTACCAATTTTTTCAAATAAAATAATATTTCTTATTCCATAATCAACAGAATAACAAGAAAAGAAACAAAGGAGAAGCTTTCATTTTTGTTGACCATTTTTCTTCATAAACCACACAACAAAACACTGTTCTTTCATGAATTTGATGCAACCCATCATGAACAAGAACAACATAAAGAAACAATAACTTCATTTCCTAAATCTTATAGCCATTGATGTTCCCTTCATGGGTTGCTTTCTTCATTGTTTTGGTTCCTCCAAATGCAGAAAAAGAAAACAACATAGCAGCCACAAGGTTCAATATTCTTCTCAATTCTGTGATACCCTTTTTTGTTTCCTTCTCAAAGATTGTTTCTTTTGTTTCACTTTTTATAAAAAATGTTATTTTTCTTATGCTCTTTTTTCCCTCTTGATTCTGTTTTTTCTAACAATTTAGCAGCTAAGTTTTTTGTTCAATTTTCACCTTGTTGTTGTAGAGAAATAGTGGTATCAAGCCACAGAAATCAAGTGTCTCTTCTCTTCAGGATCTCTCAAAATCCGCTCTTATTAACCCTTCATCACAACTACAGTAAGCAAATCAATTTCCATTCATTGCCTTCTATTTTTTTAATTAACCATTGTAATTTTAGTCCTTAAAATTGTAAGAAATTTCATATTGGTCCCTAATTTTAGGAAATTAATATTCCTAGTCCCTGAAACTATAATATACGAATAAGGATCATATGTCCAAAAAATTGTTATCTTCATGTACCAAGTCAATCACATTTCACCGAGTAATATAAAAATTTATTTTATATTTTTATGAATTTTTTAATTAGTTGGCACTTGGATTGAAACAAAATGGAACGAGTGATCTCGATTCAAAATATACAACTTTGAGTCAAATTGAACCAACTCAACAATGTTTGATACAAGGGACTACAATTATGGAACCTTATACTTGTAATTCAAATACTAAAAAGGAAGCTCAATTTTTTCTTAAATAGATACAGATAATTCAATTTTTTTATGATGTAGGGATAAAAGTGAGGAGCAACTAAGTGTGAGTACAGGGCCTTCATCACAACTCCAGTAAGCAAAACAATCTTCATTCATCAATTTCAACTTTATTACCTATTTTTTTGGAATTTTATGAGAAATGCTAGCAACAACTATTTTCAAGTACCTTTTATTTGTACTTTTGTATTTGTGGATTTCATATGAGAAAGTGATAAAGTGAGTTTGGGAGTAAAGTGATAAAGTGTTACTTACATTGCATCAAAATCTCAACACAAAAGGTGTACATAATAAGTTCAACAAACTAGCACTTTAAATTTTATCTTTGTATAGATAATTTTTACTTATATTGTTTTTTATGGTGTAGGGATAAAAGTGAGGAGCAACTACTAAGCTTGAGTACCAGGAAGAAAGTAACTTTTGATTCCAATGTCAAAACCTATGAGGCTGTTCTACAGGATGAAGCACCTGAGAATAAGAACATTGAGGATGCAAAGGTGGAAGCTTGGGAAACAAAGCCAACCCAATCAAAGTCTTCTTCCTCTGAAAATAGTTCTTTGACTTCAACTGGATCCTACCCTCCAAACCACAGGTACCAGAATTCTCGGGTCAGTGACGATGAATTGGATTATGGGGCTAGTGATCTCAGTGAAGATTATGAAGGTGACAATGGGGACTTTGAAGAAGAACATAGAATGGTATACTCTAGTCCAACCCAAACTTATGATAATAGCGATGATGTGAACTCAGTTGGGTTGAACTTGAATCCTAATGCAAGAGAAAGAAGTGTTTATGTTCATCCTGTGCTGAATCCAGTTGAAAATCTCACTCAGTGGAAAGTGGTTAAGTCTAAAAGAACGAAACCATCGAGGCCTCAGAACGAGAATTACCTTTCTTACAATCATGAGTCGAAAAATACATTTGGTACAGAAGAACCAAGTAGCAAGGAACAAGCTTTCAGCTTAAATTCAGACAATGACACATCAAGGAAGTTAAAACAGGAGAATTCAGTTGATGCTAGCCTCTCAAATTGGTTGGTTTCGCCACAAACTACACCTGTTAACAAAGCTGGGTCAGTGCCTTGTTATGCAGGAACCCCTGACAGTACCATCTCGCGACGTACTGTGATAAGCCATGAAGATAGGCCTATTTTAGGTGCATTGACTATTGAAGAGATAAGGCAATTTTCTGCTACGCCAAGGAAGTCACCTAGCCACAGTCTAGATGAGATGCCGATAATCGGCACTGTTGGGACATACTGGAGTTTCACAGATTCTACTGAGGATTCTAGCTCAGTCTCTTCCTTCAAAGGAATTCCAAAAACAACAAGGAAGTATTGAGAGGTAAATATGTAGTGATACTTTAAGATAAATTAGTCATTATATTATGTGAGGGTAAATTCTGATTTGTATTGAACTTGCTATGCAGGATAAGAGAGTGAATTGGCATTCAACCCCATTTGAGAAAAGGCTAGAGAAAGCTCTGAATGGAGGTGCTTCTGAAGCTGCTTCTACCTATGTTTCTCATGTATATTAATTTAAAACAAGTTTGCATTGGTATAGTATTAGGAATGGATTTTTCAATTCTTTTATGGAGATGATAAAGTGTGATTTTTACTTCTATGTTGTAATTTGTAATTGGATTAATATGATCATGTGTTTTATCTATATACTGTGTCTCCATAATGAAATCCACATGGGTTATTGCTAGTGCAGCTGATAATTTTATGTACTATTTTGTAGTTTCAACCTTTGATAATTTTCACGTAACATTGCCACAACTGTAAGGTTGTTTCGTAAGGTAAGACTATATACATATACCTTCCCCAGACCCAGACCCCACTAAGTGAGTGCCTCGTGCACTGACTGTCCTTTTTTTATTGCCACAACTATTTAGACGGGATAGATTGCAAATCCATTCTTATAAATGTTTTACTTTATTCCCAACTTTATAATCCTGCCTTCAGTTAATTCCTGCAGTTCAGATATAGCCATACTCTTACATGTGATATTTTCTATAAGTGGCTAATATTATTTCTGTGAGTATGACTTCTCAGGGTAGAAAGAGATAGCTTGATATTTGCCATTGATCAAATGTGATCTCACTCTGAAAATGAGGGAATTAAGGAACTTGCTTTCATCATTATATATATATATATATATATTATAGATATGCTTGTAGTAATTGAGATAGGAAATTATCTAGTACTGCTAAAACTCAAAGACTGAGTTTTAGCCAACATTGGTTGCAAGATTTTAGTTGCATCTTGAGATGTGCATATTTCCTATGGTATATTTCAATTATAACTAGGAATCCTATCATATCAAGCAATCTTTCATTTTTAACAACTGAATCTTGCGCCATAAATCTATGCTTCCATCAATGACACTTGAATTATGATTTGATACTCTTTTCTTTCTCAAAATTCAAGAGTAATTGTTAAGATAATCAGGTTGAAATTTTTGCGGCACAACTTATCATCAATGTATTCAAGATCAAATGTTGCCTAAAGGTGAAATAAGAAAACAGAAGAAGGTAAGAGAGAAGGGATTCAAATATTTCAATCTGTGCATGTATGCACGGCCGCATAGACAACACAGCTAGTTTCTTCAAAGGTGATACTCCAACAGAAGAAACAAGATCAGATTACATATGACTTAGCATTCAACTCCACATTGTTTGAGAACTGGACCTGTTTTTTTGGGCAAGAAAACATCAAAGCGCACCCAAATCATTGAGAAAATTAATGCTAAAAGTATTGACCAGAGGACTACTATAGTAGGAGTTCTGTTTTGCCTTCCCATTAGACCTTTGAGGAAAGGATATAGGTGCACAATGACCCAGAAGGAAAAGAATAACTTCCCAAATAAAGGACCCCATGAGTCATAGCCATTGTTAAGGGCATCAGATATTCCAGCTACGATTCCGACCATATTCAAGATTACGAGACTTGTTGGTGGGATGAGAAGAGTAG